TCTCTTTAAAAGGGGCATCCAGTGGGAAGAAAGTTGGCAGGAAGGGGAGGGGAGAAGGGAAGGGAAAAGAAACACTTTTTACACACAGAGGATAAACTGGGGAGCTGCAGGCCTGGTATAAGATAAATAAGGATAAGTGTGAGTCGTGAAAACTCTCTAGTAGAGTTCAAGAATAAAAATATGGAGCAAGGAATGAGCAGTAGAGGTCCCATTTACATGTGTGTGTGTATATATAACATATTACAGAAGAGTTATAGTGTATACATGATGTGATAGGTTGCCCCTCAGTGCAGGAAAGCTATAAGATTAATTCATGTTTTGCCCCCTTTGTCTTTTGAATATCACATTCTTCAATGAAGTCACGAGTTGGAGTTGTGGAGTAAAGAATCTGAAAAAAGAAAGTAAAATGCAGGCGTTTCCATGAACTCATCCGCAGCCCGAAGGTTATGCCTATTTCTAGCACCAACCTTTTACCACCACTCCACACACTGCCTGATGATGCAATGCTGCACAGTTGTACAAAAACACCTTCAGTGTCTCTGCTTTTATAATGACTAAAATTCATCAACCGCTCACCCTTGTAAGAGACATTGATTTGTTGCAACAACACAATACCTTCACAGACTGCGACTCTGTCCTGACTGTTAAAACAGATATTGTGCAGCACGACTCCCTCTATAAGTAAGATGTCTGCTACCATATATATATATATATATATATATATATTCTGCTTCACCGTGCTCAAACCTTGGCAAAGTAGTTGAGTTCTTCTTGGAAAAACTCTTTACCCTGCTGAGAGTCTTTGCCCGTTCTGCCACAGTTAATGAAAGTCTGTCAGGGGGGGAAACACATACAAGCTAATGATGCCTGCCATAAGTGTCTTATGCTAATGGCATGCTGAGTGTGAATAAAGCATGTGGGCATGGCTTTACTTGTGCATGCATTACACATCTGGGGGTCCCTCAGGGGGAAACTGTGCACAGGTGTGTCAGCTATGGATGTGTGTGTAATGGAATTAAAGCATTTCATACTGCTTTGTTGGTCTAAAAAAAAAAAGTTGAAAAGAACAAAATTGACATAATAAAACGGACGTTTTATCTTGGATTGTATGGGCTGGTATCTTTTCTTCATGTATATCTATGTGAGTGAGTGGCATGGCAAACTTAGTATAAATTCAGGCCAGCTACAGCTGAGCAGAGCAGCTGAGAGCTCAGCCAACCTTGCACCCTGTGATCGAGAGTTTCACGCTGTCAGCCAGCGGTCACGATCTGCTGAAGAACAGCGACTGCTCGCCCTCATTCGGACAGCCGCACTTGACAGACATCATCTTCTCTGATCTCAGATCAGAGCTCCCATGTCGCAGCTTCTTCGTGGCTGGCAGGCACCTAGTTATGCAGGCAGAGTGGTGAGGCACTTTGATGGCGCAAAATCGACCCTTCAATCAAATTCCAGTTTATCCTGTTTTGATTGATGTGGAGTGGATGGAAAAACACAGAAATGAGCATCGTAATTTAAGCTGTGTTATGTGGATGGGGTGAAGTGGAGCACTAAATTCTCTGTCATGTTTTGTTATTTTGGGTTCAGCAGACTGCATAAAAAAATGAAAGAAAAGTGCATTTTTTTTTCTTCCTTCAGTTGTTTTTAACGTTACACACTAACAGTGCCTCATTGGACATTGTTCCATCTCACAGTTAAGACCCCTAAATGCTGGCATATTGTAGAAAAAAGAAAAACAAATGTTAGTAAAGCATAAAGCTTTGAAGTCATAGTGTGTAGAGGGCCATCACTGTCCACAAAGCCAAAAGCTTATTTAAGTGATTTTGCTTGAACAAGATCTGCTGGTGCCTATTTGTACAGGACAGACAGAACAGAGCAAAATGCAGATCTGAAGGGACTCTAGCAGGGCTTTAGCCCCCCTGAGCACATGTTCAGATCTTTTAAGATAACGATCTGTGATGACTGAGTGTAGACACACAGCATTGTTCAAAATTCTTGAGACGCCCTTGATTTCTTTATATTTTGCTTCCCTTTTAAAAGTGTTCTTGAGCAATAGTCCTCCAGGCTTTCTGACGGTCTTTCAAAGTTTTTCTGTGGACATTTGGACATTTCCACATCTGCAGAAAACGATGGAGGCTCAGTGGTGTTGGAAACAAGCGCAGTGAGATTTTTGCTCCATTGTGTAAAAGTTTCTTGCCGAAGAGAGTTCAGGCTGTGTTGAAGAATAAAGGTGACCTTACACGTTATTGACTTTCAGGCTTGTTAGAAATTGTTTTTACTGTATTTCCATGTATGTTTGCAAATATTTCAATAAATGTCTGAAGGCTATTTACTATTTTCCCACCAAATACAAAGAGATGAGCAGTGGCTCAGGACACTTCAGTGTCTCCGCAGTGCTAAACATGCCTGTAGCTTAAGTTATTGCTTTGGCGTGGTTTGAATCTCCAAAAGGAGGCAGCTTTAATGATGTAGAAAGAAGAGCTCGCATTTTAGCCTTTTACTTATTAAAGATGGCCTGATCCGGCTTTCTTCTAGTTCCATAGTGATACCTCGACTGTGTGCATCTGCTGATAACAGGAACTGAGCCGATACCAGTGTTAAATTAATAATGGGTGACCATAACTGAACAACAGAGACCGAGAATCATTGTTATATGTGTAAAGAAACATCAGACTCAACTTTAAAGATCCTTTCAAACTTTGTAACATAAAGTGTAAGAAAAAAATACATCCAAGAAATATCCAGAATTTTTGGTGTTAGTTAAATAATAATTGATATCAACAAGATAAATACAATGGAAAAGCAATGTACTTGTGTTATGCATCTGATTTATTTGCATCAGACTGACTTTGAATATCACAGTGCCTGCTACTGTTTCATTGTCAAACAGCTACGCAGCTGACAGGAGACAGCTGAAGTGAAATAATATTTAATGGCATTGACAACACGTTACTTTATCACAAGTATAAGGAAAGCTTAAAGCAGCGTCCTTCTAACGTCTTGGACAAACTCTCTGAACAAAGCGAGAGCGAGCGAATGAGTGAGAGAAAGAGAGAAAGCCACATCTGATCTTTTCACCCATGATGGCTCACTTTAACCACAGTTTGTTCTTAAGAGAAACAGTTTTGCAAACATACAGACAGAAGCTGTTTGTGTGGCTACAGTGAAACACCTCCAACTCCAACAGAGAAGTGAACTGAGAGGACTGACACCGGATGATTGTCAGAGATTACCTGACAATATAAAGCACCTTGAGGCGACTGTTGTTGTGATTTGGTGCTGTATAAATAAAACTGAATTGAATTGATATGGGATCCACCTTTTTGGGTCTATATCAGGCCGATATCCAGTCCAAATATCGAGTCTGCACATCCTTATTACTTATGCTAATTTACCTTAGACTGTACATAAAAGATGGCTATCACCTTTTGACTTTCTGGCCACACGATTTGAAGCCTCAGAGTTGGTGCACTGGCTGGCACATTTTTGTTTTTGTAACCATAGGTGAGTGTTTGCAGATAGCTGCTGGGTACAGCTACCCATGCCCAACAAAATCCAGATGATTTAGCTTAAAAAAAAAGATAATCTGTAATATTGATTTGAAGGTATAAATTCTTATCTTGTGTTGTCTTGAGGCTGGAGTTGACCCATGGTCACTGTCAAAACACACTTAATAGATGAATCATCCATCACAGTAATTGGTTGTAAAAATCAGAGGGAGTTTCTAAGTTGCATACTGAACAGCAGGGCTTCGTGCTTTATGTTGGTCTGTGCCGATGTCACAAGTATTTTACTTTAGAAACGTCAGGCAACCGTCAAGGTTGTTAACAGTGTGTTTTCTCAAACGTTAATTTAGGTGGGCTGGATTTACAACGATGCAAAACGAGAACATCGCCGAGAAGCTGAAAATGGCACAATGACCATTTTCCTCTCGATTATCTCGTTCTCATAATCATTGGAAGTCAAATTAATTGAAAAAAAAATAATTGAAAATAAAATAGTCCTATACCTAAGTCGTGTGCTGACTGCCTGTGGCAACCGTCTAAGTGTGTTTCACATCTCGTGCTGGATGTAGCTCCATAAAGCCAGCCATGTGAAATATTTTCCACTGAAAGGTTGATGGGTAGTAACATTGTGAAGTTCTCAGCCCAAGGCGAATGCTGCACAGGTCATCTGCAGGAAGCCGTTGCTCTCAGTAACTTTCTTTTCCAAGTACTGGAATGACAAAATGTCAACAAGTAATTAGCAGTGAAAACAAAGCTGTGACACGTTATTAAGCCGGTACAAATGAAGTTTGATTTTTAAAGAACGTAAATATAAGAAGAAGAGAAAGGTCAAGGACCTTGTTTTCCAGAGTGTAGCTTACATTAATCACTATGATTAGCTCGTTAGTATCTAGTTTTGGCTGTAGATTTATGCTCATTGACTTGCAGTGTATGCTGTTTAAGAGCTTTTCCACTTCGGGGCCAGTTACTCAGACAACTGATGGCTTTTCTTCTGATCAATGAATGTTGACAGATGATCCCTCTTTCCTTCAGTGGGATGAAATGCACAACCTTAAGGCTTTGATTTGGTTTCTTATGTTTTTTGTTTTTTTTTTAATAAAATTAAGTCACGAAATGACCTTGTCTTTTGGACACAGCTTGATTAATCACTGGGCTACTGTGCTGTTTCCAGGTTTATGCACATTGCAAACAACCAATAAATAAATTGGCTATTTGCAATTTTCTCAGCAGAAATCTGTAACTGTGGTCTAAGATGTCGAGATATAAATTCTTAATCTAGTGGTAATACCCTAGCTGATATTCATGCCATGCTTTCATCTTTTGTTTTTTTGCGTAGTGGCACCACTAAAAAAAAAATTGTAAAATAACACAGCCGTGCCTCAGCATAGAGTCATTTTAGCGGCACTCGCAAGGTAATAACCACTTAGAATATGGGATTGCTTCTGTGCGGAGTGAATATATCCTTGACAGCTGACTAACACACAGTTTGTTTTCCAGATTACCCAGGAGCAGTTTATTCTTGCATCCCAGTCCCTGCACCTCCAACGACCAGGCTGCGATGCCGTGTACCCGGTGGGTTTATACGGGTGGAGAAAAAGATGCCTTTATTTCTTCCTGCTACTGCTCCTGGTTACCATGATAGTTAACCTGGCCCTCACCGTCTGGATCATAAAGGTTATGAATTTCTCAGTGGTGAGTACAGCACGGCAAACACACACCTTGAGTTATCAGAAGGAAGCCTGTGATCTCATCATTAAAGTCAGCATATGAATAGATTCTGACTGATGTTAATATTCGGTGATTTAAAAAGTTGATATGGGCCAGTAATTATTTTTCTTGCAGGCAAAAAAAACATAAAGAGATTTTTTTTAAATAACATTTGTTACATGTATTTATTTGTGAATTCTTACTAAGATCACATGACTGCTGTTTAAAAATGATCTTGTTTTATTGTCACAACAACTCGTGGGTTACTGTGCCCAGATCAGCCGGTTCTTTCCAGTCCAATCCAGTTTATTTATAGAGCACTTTTTATTGAAAACACCAGTTTGACAAGGTATCATACAAAGGAGCAGTACACTCTCAACAAAAAAAAAACCCCTTACCAATAATATTAATAATAATAAATAGAAGGTAAGAAAACACCACTCTGATTCTGATTTAAATACCAAGGAACAAAGATGAGTTTTAAGATGTGTTTTAAAGGGAGCCAGTTTAGCTTAGTTTAACAAAATTGATTAAAATCAGACAAAAAAACATAAAATCAGAGTAGAAAAGTATATATTTTTTACTGTAACAACCAAAAACATGTTTAATGAATCATATTTCATAACTTTAAATGCAAATATAAATTGTCAATTTTAAAATCCCGTGCACAAGTTTTGCAAACAAAGTTTGCAGTTATTTATTATTTGCATCTATTTACCTTTTACCTTGATTTTTTTAAATAACCATTTCAAACTATTTACAGAACAATCAGCTGTTCTGCATTCAATAAGATGCCACACAAATTATTTGTGCCACTTAGGGATGGGTATCGTTTAGATTTTATCCGATACCAGTGCCAAACCGGTACTTTTGAAACGGTGCCAGTGCTTAAAGAATGGAGAACACAAACTTTGTCCAAAAACCTCTCACGTTTAGCTGTTTTTTGTAAAAAGATAACAATGTTAGCCTTTTCTGTAGCTATAGGTTGTATTAGAGAATTTACAGAATTTATCTGCTTGTCTTGCATAAAATGAAAGGCCAGTTTGAGACCAAGATTAGCCACTGTGGTTTTAATATACGGCTGCAGAAGGCCCAGGATCAAGAGAGGAGCAGTGCACTACAGCAGTGGTTTAGGGGAGCTGACATAATTATTTTTATGGACATGTTTACCATTTCTATGCAGATAACACCCAAATTTACAAAGCCATGGTTAAAAAAAATCAGTCCCAGAAGGAGACGGTAAAGAGAAAAAAGAAAATTCCACATGACAGAGAAGCTAAGGAAGACAATAGCTGTGTCCCGAAACGTAGGCAGCATCCTCCTGAGGCCGCATTTGTAGACCGATTATGTCACAGCGACGCGACAAAGGCTGTCCCAATTCGTAGACTCCCACGAATGCGGCCGACAAATGCTTCCTCCTTTTCCCCAGATTTGAAGGATGGGTCGGGTGTATCCTTCGTGGCCCAGCCAATTCCAGTTTCCAACAATGGCAGCTTCATCGTTTTCAGACCCCCGATATCTTTCGCTACTCAGGTTAAACACGATATATAAGTCACTCGGATAACTTAAAAATGTTATTGTTTGGCTTTTTTCAGTGTTTTATTTGTTCCAGACTAAATTGGTTTGGTTGAGATCAAAGTTATTAGATTAGATTTGATTAAATAAAACCTGATTAATCCCTCGGGTGGGTTCCTCTGGGATTTTCACACAGCTGAATAAACATCAAACAGAAAACTGATTAAAAAGAAGTATGAGATGGTCAAGAATTTCGGCAGTGTCCTGTTATATTTTAGATAGCAAGGAGCAGACAGCTGAGTTTATTAAACTCCACCGAGACAGCGGTGACGCAAATCTGAAGGCTAGACCATCCAATTTCACAGTCTTGCACTTCCGGCTTTTTCTTCGAAGGACCCGGCCTATGTAGACCGCTGCAGAGTCATGAAAGTGGACTACTTCTGTCTGTGGCGTTCCAAAAACATAATGCCTACAAGGAAGTTGGTTAGCGCCCTCTGGTGGACAGGCTATGCAATGCCAGCACTCATAATATTGGTGGAATAGTGTTTTTAAATGTTTATTTACCAGCTGATAAAAATCCCAGTAGATATATATATCAGCAAATGGCTAATATTAGGCAATAATATCCGCCTGCTGCTATATCAGTCCTGCTCTAATCTGAAGTATGAAGAGCAGTATTTGAATAAGCCAGGGCTTGTCTGTGATTTGTGGACTCCCGTGGATAAAGGGAGCGGTCATGATTTTGGCTGCTTTGCTGCCTTCTGATTCCTAACAGGTGGCCATTATTGAGGGGAAAATGAATTCCCACATTATCTTGCAGAATAATGTCAGGGTGACTCGCCGTCAGCTGGAGCTGAGTAAAGTTTGCAGGACAAATAAATCTCCGACTGAATTTCATCAGACAAAAAAATAAACAGTATTGTGTTTGGGGTGGCCTGAGAGGAAATCTTATTTCTGTATGTGCAGGTAGATATTTGAGACCAGCACTAGAGATCATATATTTATACATATATTCATAGGAGCTCTAGTGCTGTCCTCAAACATGTAAAGAAAACTGGTCCAGAATTTCTCCTTAAAGCTGTCAGGCTCTCCTTCAGAGCTGTCAGATGTGCACAATTAAGCTCATTGTTGCAAAAAAGGCTTGTTCTCTTATTAAATCCAGCATCACTGAAACGAAGTGTTGGTCTTAGCCCGTCCTCCTGTGCCTATCAGAGGTGTCGACCACTAACTCCAGAACCATAATGCTGTATCCAGAACAGCATTTGTGGTGTGCGTCTTGTTCTCTCAGACACATTAACAGTCGTTGGAAGCTTTTATTGCACTTAGAGTAGGCTAACAAGTTGTTGGCAGCACTGTCTTCGCTTTACCGTCTTTACCCTCTCTGATACACTCCAGTCTGTGCTGTGTTCCAACCCTCTCCTATGAAAAGCATTTATAATAATAACATAATTATGTAAATCAGACAAATCAGCCAGTGTACAGCAGTTAGATTTGATTGAGACTGCTTTAGTGTCTAAACTAAACAAGTATTGACAGCAGGGTTACAAATATAGGGGATCAAATATATAACGGGCATCTCGTGCTGTGTACTGGATTCGTCTGGATTCTGTAGTATTAGGAAAAGCCTTGGCAGCAGAACGTGTTAATCTCAAGCAAAATCCAAACAGGCAGAAGCTGCGAGCTCCTCCCGTGACATTTTCAGGGACAATGCACACAATTTACCATTTTGTCAACAAATTCCCAATGGCAGCACCCCTCCCAACCCCCCAAATCCCCTCGACTATTACAATCACTCCTCTGCTCCTTCTTCTGTCATCAATCTATGTCATGAGTGAAAGACCTTATCAGTGCTGTTGGTGTTGCTTCAGAAAATGCACTTCGCTGCTCCAGATCTCTCAGGACTCAGCAAGTTTCATTAAAAAAAAAAAAAAAGCATAACAGTAGCTTCTAAGAACCGCACCACGAGGGCATTGCTGTTACATTTTAAAGTTGCCACTGATTATCATTTATTAAAATGAGATGGTATTGGAGAACTTATATAAAAAAAATAAGTCACTTTGAACACTTGGTGCACACAACAATGCTTGATTTAAAATAAAGCAAGATTTTCCACTCAGCAGCCATATTGACATCCTATCAAGGGAAAAAATCCTCAACATTAAGTTTCATTTTCTCCAGTACATAAAAACTGCATTACTGTTTCATTAAAACCTGCTATAAATGTTGCCAGAAAGAGTCAGTCTGCTATCAGTGAGTGATTAAATGGAGACAAATTGGTAATATAACTGTAATAAATCACCAAAAATCTCATATCTGTTGTTGTCTACGTAGACAGAAATCCACAGAAATATAACCAGACTATAACCAGCTGGCAGTCAGTTGGGTCGAGTCCCCTGGAGTTGTGCTCACTGACAAAGACTCATTTAGACTGACGGCAACATGTTGGTAATCTTTCTATAAACGAGACAGCAAACCTTCAACAATCTCTCTCAGAGCGATTGCATTCAGTCCAAGTCAGACTGCAGCTGTTTGCAGAAAGGTTGCCTCCTATCAGGTGACCTGTGCAATCGCCCTGTCCCCAAAAGAGATCGTGAGTGTGCAACACCCTCATGTTCTGGGTAACCACTTAGTCTGCCACAGAATATGAAAAAATTCAAAACAGTCACCGGACAGCACCTGATTATTTATTTTTTTTGGAGATGCAGGATGTTTCTCTCCTATTTCTACTCATGTGACCGAGCCATTAGCTTTGTCTGATTTAGCTTTGTCAAGCTACGTGTGTCTATTGCTGGATGGTAATTCAGTTGAGATAATTTAATGTAAGTTTTTTTTGGCTAACATTATCTCTGGATGGTCGTGCATCAGATGATCACTCATATTTGTAGTATTTCAGGAGAATTTTAATTTAATTGTTTGATTAAATATCGATATTTGGCATCCTTGTATTGATACAGTATCGCGGTTGTACAGTTTGTTTGTTTTATTGTGGTAACATGGTTTAACATTGTAATATGCTGTGTAAATACAGTATATGTAATTGCTCAATGATAATTCCATCATTAGAAAAGTAATAGACTGTCTTGCGTGTTCACTATGTTAATGCATTAGCAGGTATTCTGCTTGGCTAGAGATACACCACGGTGCTGTTATCACAACCTAATCACACTTTCAGTTGCTTCTGAATTTGACTCTCTGTTCTGAATTTCAGTAAAAGTAGTTGTTCAGTATTTATAATCTCCAGGATGAACATTATTAGCTCAGTTCAAACAATGATGTTAAGCACTATGATGTAAGGCCAACAGGGATTCATTGCAGGTCTAGCAATCAAGCTCTTAAGACTTTGAGTCAACTATTAATCTTAGGATTAATAATCCAGTGGGACGGGATAAACGCTCACGATAAAGCTGCCCGGTAAATCAGAAGTCACAACCTGAATGTTTCCGGCAAGCTGAGTGTGTGAATATCTCTGCGGTTACATCACATGGGCAGCCTGATGATGCACACTGCTCAAAAGCATTGATTGTTAAAAATAAAGTTTCTCTGAAAATGCTTTTTTCCCCTCTAAATATGGGAAAATGGATTATGTGACTCAATCCTTTTTGAAGTCACTGGTCTGAAAACCATGTGGGCTGTTTTCCCTTTTTATTTATTTATTAATTTTTTTCTGGGTGAAGCTATGTGCGTGTGCTATCTTGGATCCCTCATCCTCTGACTGGATCAAATAGGATGATAAAGCAGATATGTAGCATTAAAGAAACAACTCCAAAACTTCTGCCCGTCTGTCGAGGGCAGAGGGGGTAAAGCTCAGGTTGTTTTTGGCTCTACAGTTTCTCTTTTAACTGTGGCAGGAGTTCCTCCTCTGGGACATCACCCTTTGTTTCACTGATGCTGAGGGTCTCCTTTAGGCTTTGAACATTATCAAACTGAGGCTGTTTGTGACGCCCTCCTTTTTCTCCTACCTCCCATCTACTTATTTAAGTGACTGCAGCGTGTGCTGAATTCTTCACACCCACTATGCCGCCTCCTCCCAGCACAGCAGCAACTTCACAGTCTGACCTCCACACTGCCACACACACCTCCTAAACTCCCCTGACTTTGTTCTCCTGTCTGTCCCTGCTCTTTGCTCTCATGCATGATGGCGCTCTCCCTGCTTTTCTCTGCCTCTGTAATTCACTCCATCCATTTGTGCCGCTATGGACTCTTTCAACACATCCCTCAGGGCCAATCTGTTCATACACATCCCTACAAAGCTGCCCTCACACTTCAGTCTGCTCATTGTGGTGCAGCAAGGCATAACCTTGTCCAATTTCTACTGAATTATATACAGCCCAAAATCAGCCCCGAGTAAATGTGAGGTGAAGTTGCGGGATCATGCTTCATTTCATACAGTATTTGGTATTTCATTTTTTTTTTTTTAAATTGATGTAGCTTCTGTTGAAATGGGATGGCAAAGAATCAATTTAAGTGCAAACCACTGGGCTGTTACCTGTGGAGAGAGGTAGGACTAGCTGTACAGCTAGATAGTTGAAAAATCGGTGTGACTTTTATTGGCATGACTTTTTTAAAGCGTGCAGGTGAAGCAAAAGATCCCACCAATGATGTGCTGCTTTTCAGAAAGTTCAATCACACAGATGGCCAGACAACTTTTAAAGCTGAAAAGTTTAAATTTAGCTTCTTACTGCAGGAAAATCTCAAATGAAACAAATTTGTTATTAACAATCCCTATTTTGTTCATTCCAGCGTTAATTAACAGCTACGGTTACCCAGACATTGTGCTATTAATAATGAAAACTTAAACGTGAAATCCTGAACAAGTGGAAAGGTAGTTAAGGCGGAACAAATTTCTTTTGAGACTCAATTTTTAAAAAAACATTTTTCTTTTTCCATAGCAGAACACAAACTAAGATGCACAGAACATATTTACAGTCCGGACAATCAGAGAGAAAAATTAATTAATTAATTAAAAGTAAAGAAATTACTTAATTAAAACAAATATAACAATAAATAAATAAATGAACAATTTAAATAATTTTAAGTACTAGTATTGGGACAATAATGCAACACATAAAAATAAGCTGGTAATTACCAAAAATCCTTTTTTATGTTAACATGAAATTATAATTATTGTTGTCATCCATTTATTT